CTGCATTGTTATAGACATACTTGCCGACAGATATTTTGAAATAAATTACCAAAATAATTTAAACTGGCATGATTATATTGTGTTGTTTTGACAGATAAAATATGCAGAATTTTAAAATATTGTGTGCAGAATTTTTATTTTTTTGACATGGAATTTTTAATTTTTTGGTGCAGAATTCCCCCAGGAGTAAAGTGAGTAGGAGTCTTGAATGCAGGCTCTGATCCAGGCGGAAAGTACATACTGGGATATGTTCTCTCCCTTGTGTCAGAGGAATGTATGAAATTAATATCCGCATGTTGAATGAATAATATTTTTGTCCTAGATGAAAGCCAAAATTGCAACAAGTGCAGATGCAAAGACCAATAGGCTCCTATGGACTGGCTTAGCAGTACTGTCCACTCAAGGTGGAGCCCTGGCCTGGCTCACGTGGTGGGTCTATTCATGGGATATAATGGAGCCAGTGACATATTTTATCACATACGGGAGTGCCCTGGCATTCTATGCTTACTTTGTACTTACTAAACAGGTAAGTCCCATTATATAAACATGTCTGAAGTCATCTTACACTGATTTTCATAATAAATCCCCCTATGTATTTAAACATCAAAGCTTGTGTGTGCGTTATGTAGAACTGCACTTAGGCTGGAACTTTGTTTTGCTCAGGGGCAAACTGCTCATCTGAGCTGCACTTAAAAATCCTGATTGCAATTAGTGACCAGGGGGGATGCCATCTGATGCTGAAAATGAAAACTATCCTCTTTCATTCAATTCTTTGTATGTGGCCTGGATGGTAATTGTATCTCCTACGTCTCTACATAGAAAGTGCAAGTACTAAAGCAGGGCTTGTCAAGGAATGCAACCTAGTAGTGGGCCAGGAAGGCAAACCCATCAGTTGCTTTTTCTGTTTGATGGAGTTCATATGTCACTTGATGCAGGAGGCCAGGCTGTTGGGAAGTTTTTCAGCTGTTTTTCCTGGAATAGCTTTACTTTATTTCCTTGAGCAAGATGCAGATTTTTCTCAAGTGGCCTATCTTCCTTTCTTGCTCTTGGATGTGCAAAGGAGAAGTCACGAGTTGGAGGGAGGCATGTTTAGAGGAGGGGGAAGGGTTCCTGAACAGCAAAACCCCAGAACTTAGACGAAGTGCAGAATGTGGAAATGGCCATCAATTCCTGTACAATATAAAGGAATTTACATTTTTGCCCATTAAATGTTTGGGATCCTACAACGTACTATAAAGCACATAGTTGGATAGTAACTTGTCTTCCTTTTCATGCTGCATATTCAATAATGCACTCCTCCATTTTTATTTTGTTTGGTATGGACATAGTTGGTGAAAATCCAATACTTGCACATATGGAACCTATAGTACATATGAAACATCAGGTGGGGAAGGATGCTGGGTTTTGGAGCTCAGCTAGTTTGTTGAGAGCTGGGTTTGTGAGTTAGTTCTGCTCCTCTTGCTTTCTGCTGACTTTCAGGAGGGTTGAGGTAGTTCTGGGATAAATTGATAAATACTAATGGCCTGATTTTCAGATGCTGCCATTGTCTGGGATTTTCAAAGGACCCTTAGGGAGTCAAGAATCCAACTTCCTTAGTCTCTTCTGACAATCTCAGCTATTGACTCCAATGGGAGCTGTGAGTGCTCAGCCATTATGAAAATAAGGTCATTTATTTGTCATGGTTTAGATTTCCTCTAATTACTATAGGGTTGTTTTTTATGTAGGTTAGTTTGATTTAACTCTATCTGTACAAATATCTTTGCACTCCTAACCCTCTGCCTGCCCAAAAAACCCAAACATTTGTGTCCTTTTTCTATCTATCAGGATTATGTTTACCCAGATATTAAAGACAGGCAATTCCTCCACTACTTCTACCGGAAATCCAGAAACCAACACTTTGATGTGGAACAGTATAACAAGCTAAAAGAGGCACTGGCAGAGGTATTTTAATAAGTCTCTTGGTGTAAGTGAATGATGCTGTGGTCTCACCATTTAAGACTTTTCAGTAAATCTTGAGCTAATTGGAAAGTGGCTTTTAGATTTATTTATTTATGCATTTTCATTTTGTATGCTAAAAATGTGCATATGTAACAGATTACCTGGAGTTTCTTTAAAAGCTGGAAGGAAGGAATTAAGAATGGAAATTTGCAGCACTGCTCAGGCAGCCTGTGGAGGCGGGGGGGGGGGGGGGGGGGGAAAACAAGTCACTCACTTGTGTTGCTCAACAGTGATAAGCTGGTTTCTCTACAGTTTCCATCTTCCATAGTAGCAGTGATATGGAACTGGGAAAAATCTTCACTGCTCCATGAGAAATAGAGAGAGTCCTCCAGTCCACAATAAATAAAAAGGACCCTGATTTATAGCCTATTTAAAGTAAATGGAAATTCTCCCTTGACTTTATTGGGTTTTTGATCAAGAACCCTTAGTGAATGGATGGAGTTAAGTTTTTAAAAAAATAATTGTGTAGGATTCAAACTAGTTCCTTTTATCAAGGCTGGGGCTTTAAAATATTTGCACTATCTGACATTAGTCTGGAGTGTGAATTTTGCAATTTATGCTAGAGCATGTAAAATAATTCAGTCCTGCTGTTGTAGGAAATGGGCTTTATAAATTTTCCTAGGCTTTGGACTGAAGGTGACAGTACACTATGCATGGGGTCCTACATTCAGTTGCCTGGAAGGAGGATGTTTGTGCATCTGTATGTCTGCAGTTCCCGTTGGTCGGTCTGTTGACTGACAGATTAACTTACCGATGGCAGGAATTGTTTTTGGATGGTAATCCCTAGAGTGATATGACCAGGAGGCTGCACTTGTGATTATTGTGGGAAATCTGCGTCATAAGGTTAGTGTCTTCTCATAAGCGAAAAACCTGGCTACAGGGAAAGAATATCAAGAGTATGAAAGGAAGGTACAAATTAGGGGTGACTGAAAGGGATAAATATGGACACAGAACATCTTCCATTTAATTCTCTCTTGTGTTTACAGGTTGAAGAGTCCCTGAGACGCCTGCATCAGCCCCTACATCTGCAACTTCCAATACAGGAAATTAATGACAAAGACTAATTTTTTTTCATAACTGAATTGTCGTTTCCAACACCGATTCCAATATTTAGTTTCTATGTTGCAAACTGAATATTTTTGACCACTATAGTTCTGAACATTACTAGAAATGTTGATTAAAACTATTATATCATTAGATTTTTAAAAAATAATTCCTGAAATAAAGAAATCTTTCAAAATATGCATTCAGATCTTGTAATAAAATTGTCTCTCCGTTTTAGTAAATTGATGTGGGCATAAGAGTCAGTGTGGTGTTCTAGTGTACTGAAGCATTTTACTATTTTTGATGGGACTATTAATAACAGCAGAGGAATAGCTCAAAAATTTGATATGTCATGGAAAGATTTCTGGTATTTATGGTCAAATATATTTTTATACTTGAACAGGTCTCCTGTCTAAAGTTCCAGTTCAGGAAAGTCCATGTTTAAAAAGGGAGAGGGATAGCTCAGTGGTTTGAGCATTGGCCTGCTAAATCCAGGGTTGTGAGTTCAATCCTTGTGGGGGCCATTTAGGGATCTGGGGCAAAAATCTGTCCGGGGATTGGTCCTGCTTTGAGCAGGGGGTTGGACTAGATGACCTCCTGAGGTCCCTTCCAACCCTGATATTCTATGATTCTATGATAAGTGCTTTCCTGAACAGAGATGAACTTTAAATCATGTGGTTAAGTAATCCTGAATCAGAGCCAAAAAGATGGTCCTCATTTTGTGATACTAACTCTATTTCTATACTTCTGCAGCATCTCCCATCCAGAACCTCTTGCCACTTATGAAAGTGGATAAGTATTATCCACATTTTACAGATGGGGAAACTAAACCGTATAGACGTTAGATGAGTTGCTTAAGGCCCCAAGTTGAGGGAATCCCTGACCCAGAATTAAGGAAACCATTTCTTGGATCTCTCTCCATGGCTCTAACTTCTGGCAGTGGTGCTGTCTTAACTGACAAAATCAGAGCACAGAAACCTTGAACCACAGACCAAGATCCTCTGCATTATTTGATTTTAAGTTACACAACAAGAATAAATTTTTAGAAAGATACCTATTAGAATGAATATACAGGGTTAGTTTACATCTAATATCAAATTGGTGGGGGGGGGGGGGGAACGGGCTCAGTTTTCTTTTAGAGAAATACATTTGTTAGATGCTTTGATCATTTATCCTAATCAAGTTGTATGCGATTTATATACTGAATGAATAAAATTAATGATAATACTAGTCAATCTTAGGTCAGTATATACTATAAGCCTCGGACATCTATATAATATGGTACCTTAAATCTAAAACAACAAACAATTTCGGACACCAAGTCAGTCACCTGTAGTTTTTCTTAAATCAGGCTGTATTGTGTATTAATTTTTACAGCATGACATGTATGCTACTCTTCAGGGGGCTGAAGAACATATTTGTATGCTCTCCTGACTAGTACTAGTATAAACTCAGGGTGCTATTGCAGTAATAGATTAAAGTTTGGCATGCAGTGTTCAGGGTACTATAAGTTTAAATACACATTTTATTTAAAGATGTTATTTTCCCATATTCAAAGATTGTGGGAAAATATTTAACCAAGCAATGAAGACTTCCAAATTTCTAAGAGGGTATTTAAAATAATGCAGAATAAATTTGTCAGGTAAAAGATTTGGCAATCTGAGTTTACTATTCTTGATGAAGTAAAAGGCAGAAAGAATAGTGTTTTTTGGGGTGTTTTTTTGTTTTGTTTTTTGATTGATAAGTCTCTTGGATTGTGAACTGACTATAATTATTGTGTAAATTAGAGAGAGAATAAATGGAACCCCATGCTGTCATTTTTCTAACTACAGCAGTTCTTTAAAGTTCAGTGAAGAGATGGTATTGATCTAGTAAGGAAGAGCCCAAACACAGCAGTACTACTTAGATGTTCAGTTCCTCCCCTAAAATTGAAGACAAAATATCACACAGGCTTGGAGTCTAGTGAAACACACATTGCACATTTTTAATGCGTTGTAGGTGTTAAATATTTTTAAGATACAGAAAAATTACAAACATACCTTAGTTGTACTCCTCATAAATTAATGTCAGTGCAAAGAAAAAAAGCTTTTATATTCTAATGCAGTTTTAAAAATTTGTGAAAAAAAGTTACAAAATGCTAGAATGCAGTTAGAAAGTAGACAAGGTGTCATTCAAGTGCAAGTCAGAACATATTAAAAAATTGGTTAAAAAGTGTTTTCTTTCTTAGGACATATATGACCCTCATTACCATGGGATCTGAGCACCTTGCAATTTTTATTACACAGAAATCAGTGTTACAATTATTTCTCCCAAAATTCCCTGAGACTGCTGTTGCTGCAATGCTGATTTATTATAACAAAGCAATAATTTCTAATATAGAAAGGTTTTATAAAAGTATTTAAATTATGGCTCCTGAAATTTGATCCCAGCATTTTTGAAAATAGTCCTGTTAAGGAAAATGCATGATGTGAATAACTGTGCAGTTCTCTAGCTACATTGAAAATCATGTTATAAACTACTGAACAAGAGAACAAGCCCTTCACTCAGTGATCTTCTAGACTACAAGCTTAAGTGATGAAGATATTTTCCATTTTTGGAGTGAATCTGAATAAGATGCCATTCTCACAGATGGGCATATCTACTTTGATTTTTGAGTGAAGTGCAATTTTTTAGTCAGCATTGAGGCAAAACAAGGAATCTGCTTCTTTCCTATTGCATTCATGTCTCTGCACATATCCACTCTGCGAAGAGATACTTTCCTGTTAACCAGAGTGAGAAGTTCTGTGAATTCCAAGGAAGAACCATACTTTCTTATCATCTCACACAAGTCTTGAATATACCAGGTGCCATTTAGAGTTTCACGATGAGAATAGTAACCTATTGGGAAATAAGAGCATAGGACTCCATTTAACCTTAACTGAAGACTAGAAGCCACAGTTAATAACTTTCAATATCACAATTTATTTCTTGCCAGTCATGTTCATGGACTGCAGATAAGTTTTAGATATACGTCTCTGCACTGTTTATGCTATCTTGGGTACTCAGATGTTAGAGATAAAAACAGTACTTTGGCAAGTTTGCATAATCAGATTTAACCTGGGATTAATAAGAACAGCCACACTGTGTCAGCCCAATGGTCGATCTAGGCCAGTATCTTGTCTTCCAATAGTGGCCACTGCCAGATGCTTCACAGGGAATGAACAAAACATGGCAAGTGAGTGATCAAGTGATCCATGCCGTCATCCACTCCCAGCTTCTGCCAATTAAAGGCTCAGGACACCCCGAGCATGGGGTTGCATCCCTGATCATCTTGGCTAATGGCCACTGATGGATCTACTCTCCATGAATTTATTTAATTCTTTTTTGAACACATTATAGTTTTGGCCTTCACCCCACCCCCTGGTAACAAGTTCCACAGGTTGACTGTGTGTTGTGTGAAGTAGTACTTGCTTTTGTTTGTTTTACACTTGCTGCCTCTTAATTTCATCAGGTGAGCCCCCATGATTCTTGTGTTATGTGAAGAGAGAAACAATACTTTCTCCATACCATTCATGATTTTATAGACCTCTATCATAGCGCCCCCCCCTTATTGACTCTTTTCCAAGTTGAAAAGTCCCAGTCTTTTTAATCTCTCCTCATAACTTATAATGGGTGCAATTCCATTTCTGTCAATGGAGTTGCACATTAGTGATTAATTTTGCCCTTTGACTTTATACAATATTTTGCAAAAAGATTTTGTATTAATATTTTTATACCTTTCCAACATCTGGTAATGTTAAGTTGAGTACAATATTGATTCTGTAGCAGAAACAGTTCTGTAAATTCACCCACTGTTGAATTACAGGAGCGTCTTCAGGTTTGGGAATGAGATGGTTTGGGGAGGGCACTCATCTGTGTGAGGAGGTTTAAGAAATCACATCCAAATGACATGCCACTAGAAGTGCAGAAGAATATTTCCTCCTGACAGGTAGCTCAGTGATAGGGATGTGATCAGTATGCTTTGAGTTCAAAGTCATTTAAAAATTGCAAGTTAGATGGCATATTTTCATTTATTCTCAAGCCTTTACACCATGTGGGGGAGACAACACCACTAATGCAGACATGCAAAGTGGTAAGTTTAAGGAACTTGAATTCTTGTTTTGATTGTGTGATGAAGAAACTCTGCAAGCCTAGTATATTTAGTGAAACAGCAGTGATACAGCTGCAAAACTCCTGCAGGATTTAGATGCTAGAAACTTAAGTGCAAAATAACAACATACCTTCTGCAACCGAGTAGCACATTAGAAAGTCTGCACCAGCAGGTAAAGTATATATAGCCGCAGCATCCACTTCAGTTTCATTGACATTGGACTTGTCTACAATACTGTCCACTGCATCGTAAACAATGACTGGGTCATCGTGTTGATCTCCTCGACATGCCTAGCAGGAGAAAAAGCTGCTGAATCCTCTCATCTGCCAAGTACACTTAGCCATCACAGAACTAAATTCTGAAAGCAGAAGCGCTTCCTGTTTGTTTAGATGTTCTTCATTTATGTGACTAAGTTCAGAAAGAACTACCTTTTGTCCTGCTTGTACATCCCCAGGGCTTTCATTGGGAGAGCAAGCTGTTTAATAGTGACAGGCACCAACTTAGAAATATCAAAGCACAGCAGACACCATACTGACCTATTCTCCACTTTTGGAAGGAGAAGAGGGTAGTAGCCTTACAGATCAGTTCAGGGGGGTGTTCTGTGTGTAAGCAGCTGCTTGAAAAGAAGTGTGGGAATACCCTTGTGAGAGAAGCAGGTGCATGAGGCTGGCAGTGTCAGTGAAGCAGAGTGGGGGACTCACTAAGGGCAGGTAGTAGCAAGCTGCCTCTTGGAAGTGTCATAATAACCATCGCCTTTTCCACATGAGAAGAAGTTATCCCTAAAAGAACTGTCCTCTGTACCACTGGGGGAAAAAGTACACAAATTCAAGAACAGAGATCTTACCTGAATTATAAATATTTTAGGCTTTCCTACTAGACTCGGGCATTTGTCTCCTTTGAACATGTTTGTCACTGTCTGAACTTTTATTTTAGCATCATAGGCGTAAACGTGATTATCTTCACCATGGCTCAGGAACACACACACAAAGCAGTCAGCATCACTGTGGTTGTCCGTTGACACTAAAATAGTGGAACTGTGTTTAGATGATTACGCAACCTTACAGTATTTACTAAACACCCCACCATTAGTCCACTCAGAACCACATGTAGCCATTTAATCTCAAATCAGTCCTATTCGAAATATGTTGAGTCAGCGTCTCAGCTGCTGTAAATCAGCATAGCTCTGCTGAAGTCTGGAACTACACTGATCCATACAAGCAGAGGATCCAATCTACTGGAAGTTAGAGAGATGCTTAGTAAACACTACTTCTGTTGGTCATAGATGCATCTTGGGAATTCCAACACTTGCAATGCAATACCAATGAAGATACTACTGGTATAAAATAATATATTTTCTGTTCCTTAGTCTCTTTGTGTCATGGGATTTCATCATAGAAGGGAAACAATTCAAGTTACAGTGAACTTGTCTTAACAATGATGGAGAAATACAATCTTATCTAGAACCGCTCCTGCAAGCAGGCTAAGACATACCTACTACATGGTCTCCTACCTTCATAAATGTTCCGCATCACCTCTTCTGCTTTAAGGTCATCAAAGCATCTGACTTCAAATCCAAGCTCTGTCAAACTATCATTAAACACACACATTTTAATAAGTATCCTTTGTGAGTTATGCTAGAAATGCCACCGCTTTTGTTACTCCCTTTGGAACTTTATACCTTTTCCTTGAGAGAATAGATATCCATGTTAATTTATGTAATGGTACCCAAACCTGATACCCAGGAGTGTCTTAAAGATGCATAGAACAAAAAAAAAAAAGTAATTTATAAAGTGAAGGTGTTCTTATGAAATAGGAATTCTGTTAAGAGCAACAGAAAACACAAATAATTGAGGTACTCACCCAGGGACCTGTCTGAAAACCAACCAATATGAGAAATAAAGTAGAACTTCCATTTTTGCCAAAATGTAATTTCATTTTCAGGCAACTATGAGCCAAAATGACAATTTTGGACTTTTTATTTTTTTTTTGAAGGGTTATAATACGATCAAATCAGAAATTTAATATAAACATGATATAAAAACTTAATCATGTCCTGAAATATGCTGATGCTGGGCTATGCCACCTCCCTGTATTAAGCTTTTGATTAGGTTACGTGCAGCCACTTCCCTTGTGAGCTCTGTGCTAATCTACTACAATTGTAACTGGTTACTTTATAGACATCAGGTCAATGCCAGCCTAGCCTGGGTGCTTTACCCATTTTTACTCATTTCCTCAACACCATGATGTGGTGTTGTTGCATAGTTCCATACGCTAAAACAAAATTCACTATGGAACTGCACTTCTTGTGAATGGAATAGTGGGTTTGCTATCACTTCTTTTGAGGGACATGTGTTTCTAATTACTACATCTAATATTGTATGCAGTGTAGCTATAGCTGTGTCAGTCCCAGGATATTAGAGAGATAAGGTAATATTTTTTATTGGACCAACTTCTATTTAGTGAGAGAGACAAGCTTTCAAGCCACACACAGCTTTTCTTCAAGTCTGGGGATGACCTGAAGAAGAGCTCTGTGTGGCTTGAAAGCTTGTCTCTCTCACTAAATAGAAGTTGGTCCAATAAAAAAATATTACACCTTATGACGTTGCACCCCGTAATGCTTTATAGAAATATGCTTATGAGTGTAAATATGACATAACTGGGATGTGTTTTATGCTAGATAGGCAATGTAACATATCTCTGCAAAGGTTATGATCTACTGAATATATTCATCCTATTTGTATGCATGTATCTTTTTGTATTCAAAGTTATGAATATTGGCTATGTACTTGTTTGATTTTAAGTAGTCTCAGTGAAGCATTTGGTCAGCTTCTTGAGAAAAGACTATTCTCAGTAAGTGCCCAATCAAGAAACACTTAAGCTGACAGTGGACTTTGAAAGATGCCAATCCACATCTGAGCTTTCCTGGGAATGTGGCATTAGCCTTTAAAGAACTGAGTCATGCATGGACATGTGACTTGCTCATGTGACTGCAAAACTCCATCTTGTGGAGGGGATTTTACACAGGAGAGGAGAGGGGTTTCCACCCACAAGAGACAGACTATATAAGCCCCTGGGAAACCCCTCCAAAGGACAGTAACTACAGGGGTGTGAGTGATTGCTGGACCCAAACTAGAAGGAGGCTAGTCTGCCAAAGAAGCTTAGACTATTAGGCTTAGACTTGTGTGTTTTGTTTGGTAATTTACATCGTTCTGTCTGTTATTACTCAGAACACTTAAATCCTACTTTTTATATTTAATAAAATCACTTTTTACTTATTAATTAACCCAGAGCAAGTAATTAATTCCTGGGGGAGCAAACAGCTGTGCATATCTCTCTTTCAGTGTTACAGAGGGCAAACAATTTATGAGTTTACCCTGTATAAGCTTTATACACAGTAAAATGTATTTATTTGGGGTTTGGACCCCATTGGGTGCTGGAGACAGGAGCACTTCTTAAGCTGTTTTCAGTTAAGCCTGCAGCTTGTGGGGGACGTGGTTCAGACCTGGATCTGTGTTTGCAGCAGGCAAGCGAGTCTGGCACAACCAGGCAGAGTCCTGAAGTCCTAAGCTGCCAGGGAAAACGGACTCAGAGGTAGTCCCAGCACATCAGGTGGCAGTCCTAAGCGGGTTTCTGTGATCCAACCTGTGTCACACCTCACCTACTATGTCTCTCTATATCTAATATTGACAGTGATGGCAGAGTCTGAAATTTGTTGGTAGTCCACAGCGGAAGACAACTAGTGCTAGGAGACATGGGTGTTTTCTATAAGTCAAATATCCCTTCCTTTTTGCATATCTAAATTGTTGTAAAATAGCATATGGTTAAGCTTAGACTATACTGGCTCCTTGAGTTAGCTACATAAACATACGGATGTACAGCACAATTGTTCCTAGAGCTTTATTTGGCTGCAAAGCTTCCCTAAAGCTGCTTTTTGGTAACTACCAGTTGCCTATTTTGCAGTTGCTAGCAGCTAGAACTGCGTGCACTTGCTAGGTGAATAGGAATAAAGGCTTCTTAACTTCTTTAACTTTGCAGTCAGTTTTTGAAATTGTATCATACAGCACATCTGTTTACCCTACAAACCTGTCCTTGAACTACTCTGCTATTGGAGGGGATAAGGTATTAAACAGATTTAGTTGAACTTCACATCACTTACTCAAACTGGTTACTGGTTTAGTGAATCACGGGAAGTGCAAGATGTGAATCAACAAAAGTCAATTTATCTCCTAAGCTGCACAATTATAAGACTCATATTTAGAACTTCTATTTCAACAGTAGACATTTGCATCCAGCCATCACTTGGCTTGAATGCATTAGGGATATAAGATAAACTAATGTTGCCAAATAATATTAAATGGGCACAATCAGCTTGAAATCTAATCAATTACAAAAAATGAGTTGAAAGTAATTTCAGGTACTATACCTCCCCCCCCCCCGCCCCCGGCACTTCCTACCAGTTTGTGACGTTACAATCAAGTTTACCTTTTTTCTATATTAACCTATAAAAATATGTGTTCCATTTCCCCCCCCTCATGATATTGAGACAAAAATACATTGTTTGCTTAGTTAACAATACTAAAAAGCCTTTAAAAATTAAGATCACCACTTAGTCTTCCTCACCCTGATGGCTGCCTGTACCTCAGCAGTCTATTTGCACAGGGCCTGATCCTGTCCCCACTGAACTCAATGGGAGTTCTGCCTATTATTTCAAAGGGAGCAGAAGCAGACATTTAACTCTTTTTATCATGGGGTACTGTGCAAAATCTTTCAGTCACAATTATGTCAATGAAATCAGTTATTTTAGAGCTGCTTATATAATTTTCATGACAAATCACTTTGAATTGCATATTTTTATTTAACTTATCTAAAAATAGTATCCTTCTGTAAAGCAGCCAAATATCATCTTACCTGCGTTTCAGATTGTCTCTGTCTGCAAGTGTGCCACGTCTATCTGGCAGTGTTAAGTGCCAGTAAAACTGCTCATGATTGAAGATTAAAGCAACCCCTCTTCGCCTGTGGTTCATTTTGTATTGTGCTGCTGGATCAAATGGTTGGCTGTTACAAAGAGAGAACATGCCTTTCAATTAACAAATAAATAATTATTAATTCACTTACATATGTTCAGAGGCCAAGATTTTCAAGAGTGACTATAGATGTTGGGTACCCAAATCCCTAGTCACATTTGAAAATCTGGGGCACATTAAATGAGTCATTCAAAAATATCATTAAAGAACTGGCTGCAGTAGATAACGGCCAGTAAATTCTGAGTTTAAAAAGCTGTTTCTGTAACGTTCATTGTTTGCTTGGATTATCTATTGAATTCCAGGACAGAAGACTGCCAATGCAATAACTAGGCACATTATGATAAATTAAAATGGAGTCTGAACTCTGTACTGATTCTCCAAGTTTCACAGTTTAGCCAGACTTCTTATTTTAAAAGTCATAGTGCAGACACCTTTTGATAATGTAAGTGTGCACTAACTAGAATTTTGTTTGAAGTTACTGTTTACTGAATCATATGCAACATGAACATGGCAGTTTAAATAGTCACATAACTTTCTGAAGACAACATTGCGATGTTAGGTACTTATGCTGGTGGGACAGAGAGATTTTCGTCCATGCTCACCCGAGACAAGTTACCTAAATCCAGATAACTCAAGCAAGATGAAATCAAAATGTCCTTAGTACCAGTGACTAAGTTACAAGTCTGTACTATTCAGCATTTCTGCTCTTAGCATCACCATGCTCAGTACGCAAAAATCAAGAAGGGGGAAAAAGGTAGAGAAAGATGGGGCATTTTTCTTCCCCTTAATTATTCAACCTCCATCAATAGGAAAACTATGTCGGGTATAACCTGCTATAGCCTCCAAATCACTTGAGCAGCGACGGTGTGGACTTCTAAAAGATAAATTTCCACAATAGGCCACAGTTTTAAAAAAAATGAATACAAGCCATAAATATTTGGTGCATACAACTTATCCGAATCTACTGAAGAAAGAAATTATCTTATGGAATGAAACAGTGATCCCTGTCTAACTTGAGATGCATACTAAAAAGCTATTTTCAAACACCCACTAGGAAGCATATGCAATTTTTTAAACAGCTTCTCCCATGAAATCGGGACAAAAGTAAACATTCTACCTGAGAAGACCTGAAACCAAATACTTACCTGTCAAAAATAGCTAGCATGACTAGAGCCACTTGTAGGGCAGTGTGACCCAACCTGGGCTATCACACTTGGCACCCTAGGACTGACCATGTCATGTTTTCAGTAAACAAAGACATAGCTGGAGGCTGCTTCTCAGTCGCTATTCCCTATATTGCTGCCTCTATGTGGGGAGCATCTTTCTCTCACACTTTGCCCCCACCATTTGTATTATATGTATTTGTAATATGTCAAATATTGTATGTGCATATGTCTCACTAGCCCATAATGTATAAAATATGTATAAAAATATATATTTGCTAATTGTTCTGATAAGCAGAACAGACTTGCAATGAAATTCTGTGGACTGTTCTAAACATATAACCAGGGCCATTTGGGTCCTGGATATTATCTAGCAGGAAGAAAGATGATGAGGGGAAAAGTTAATTGATGGGTGCGCTAATGGTTGGAGAATGGTGTTGAATGAAGTCTGTGAAAATGGCTGGTATGAGGACATATGCAATTCTTGCATGTCATCTCAATATCTGTAGAACTGGTTCTGGGCATAGTTTCCCCTGTATTTCTTCCTTATTAATCACTTACACACTGCCTCTATGAATGGTACGACCTTCCTGAGCTCATCTGCAAAGTCTCTACCCTGTCCACATTTAAGTCCCTCTGAAAGACCCACTTCTGCAGTAGGGTTTATAGTAAATCTACTTGATTCATAAAAATAATAAATCTTTGTTTATAGACTCAGGCTTTAAGGCCAGAAGGGACCATCATGATTATCTAGTCTGATCTCCTGCACATCGCAGACCCCAGAATCTCATCCACCCACTCATGTAGTAAGCCCATAACCTCTGGCTGAGTTACTCAAATCTTGATTTAAAGACTTAAAGTTACAGCGAATCCACCATTTACTCTAGTTCAAACCAGACCCCAAATATGACTATCAGTGAGACCTTGACCATGTGGACGAGACCCACCAGACACACACCTGGGAAAGAACTAACTGTCAGGGCCGGCTCCAGCATTTCTGCCGCCCCAAGCAAAAAAAAAAAAAAAGCCGCGATCGGCGGGGCAGTACAGCGGCAGGTCCTTTGCTCCTAGAGGGAGTGAGGGACCTGCCGCCCCCGAATTGCCTCAGGTGCCGCCCCTCTCCCTTGGCCGCCCCAAGCACCTGCTTGTTCAGCTGGTGCCTGGAGCCGGCCCTGCTAACTGTAATAACTCGGAGCTCTTCCCCTCTAATGTCCTATCTCTGGCCATTGGAGATATTGACTAATAGCAGTCACGGAAGGGCCACCTGCCATTTGTGAGCAATCTCATCATACCATTAACTCCATAAATTTATTAAGCTCAGTCTTGAAACAAGTTACGTTTCTTGCCCCTACTACTCTCATTGGAAGGCTGTTCCAGCACCTAATTTTTCTGATGGTTAGAAGTGGTCACTTCTATCTTTAGCTTGTATTATCCTTAGAGCAGAGATCTGCCCCCATTCCAGCAGTGACACGTCTGGAAAGGGCTTAACATAGAGTGTTATTGTATGTATTTTTCAGACAATTTGTTTCCCTACATGTGCAGTATATGCCTGTTGTTCACATATTGTATTTCTTAGTTCCCTTTCCTCCTCCATAAAGTTATACACCTCTACCCCAATATAACACTGTCCTTGGGAGCCAAAAAATCTTACCGCATTATAGGTGAAACCGTGTTATATCGAACTTGCTTTGATCTGCCGGAGTGCACAGCCCCGCCCCTCCGGAGCACTGCTTTACCGCGTTATATCCAAATTCGTGTTATATTGGGTTGCGTTATATCGGGGTAGAGGTGTATCTGGAATGTACCTTTTACTTTAATCCTTTTAAAATACAAATACTCTATTAAAAAAAATTAATGCACTAACCTAATTTCAAATGAGCGCTCAATTCCCAAAGAATTGTGTTGTGGTGACATCCATGCAGTTTCATGACGGTTGTCTCTCCTATCCCTGTCACACTTGACATGCATCACCTGTTTCTCATGGGCGGGGGGCAGAGCCACCACTAGGAACAAAGAGACGCTCCCAAAACAGGTAATGGGAGAAGCGGCAGCAGTGAGGAGGGTGTGTGTGTGTGTGTGTGTTTGTGTGTTCACACACATGAATATTAAGAGCTGAAATTTTTCAGCTGAAACTTTTTTCACTGAAAAAATGCAGATTTGGACTGACCGAAATATTTTGACAAATTAATGCTGACTTTGTGAACTGCTTCAGTTGAAAAAAATGTGGAAACGTAGAAATGGTTCGTTTTGACATTTACAAAATGTTTTGATTTTTCAGAAAGATTCAGAAGGGGAATTAGGGGCCTAACTCCAACATTTAGGCACCACTCACAACTTTGACGAGAAGCTAGTCCCTTTATGTCAAATAGCCAGGGTACTCACCTGGGATGTGGGAGACCAGAATTGAATGCCTCCTGCTTTTGAGCAGGGACTTGACTACAAGTCTCCCCACTCCCAAGAGACAGCCCTCACCGGCTGGCTATTGGGTATTCTGAAGTAGGCTCCCTCAGTCACTCTTGTTGAAGCTGTTCCACTTTGCATAAATAAATATTTATTGGGCAAGAGAGAGGTGGTGAATGCCCTAACTACCAGATTAGAAGAGTCATTATCATTCTCTCTGTCCCGGTGACTATACCTATACAAAGCGGACGGGCTTCAACAGGAGAGCTTGAGAGAGACCCCCACCAGAATATCCCATAGCTCAGTAGTAAGAGCACTCTCCTGAGAGGTGGGAGATTCCTGTTCAAATTTTTTCTCCCCCACCCTCTCAAGGCAGAGAGGGCGGAATTAAACCTGGGTCTCCCACATCCTGGGCGAGTGCTCTAACCAGCCACTGGGCTGAATGTTGTAAGAGTGGCAGCACCACCTCCTTATCCTCCAGCTGGATTTTAAGTGAGGCCGGATCTGGTCATCATGCTCTGAGTATTTCTACCACATTGACCCCACCAGCAAGAGAGGTGGGGGAATGACTGTCTTCCCCTGGTTGGAGGATCATGCTGGGACTTAGGCACACACTCAGAGACAGAAACTTACTGCACCAACAGACCTTTACAGCAGAAGTTAGGCACCACGTAAATTTAGGCGCCTACAAGGTTAGGCAGCAGCTGAGCAGGGGGTTTGTGGATCACAGCAGCACCTCAACCAGGAACTTGGGCACCTAAATCCCTTTGTGGATCTGGGCCCTAAACACACCCCTTTCCTCTGCATTTCACTCCTGGCTAGCTTAGGTAGCTCCCTAATCAGCTTGCTGGCTCCAGTGAATCCTGTTCTTAGGAATCTAACTCTCCCCATGCATTGTGTGGGAAACCAGGGTACCTAACTTGGGACCATGAATTCCACTCGACAGCAGGTTGCCCGGGAGGTTAGTGTTGCAATGCCTAAGTCCCCTTCATTAATCTAGCCCTTCCTACTGTATGTATTTGTTCATTGTCCAGCACTATGGAACTCTGATCCTTACTAGGGCCTCTGGATGGTGCCATAATAAAATAATAATGAACACTACTACTTCATTGATATGTAGGAGTTTGATACACATGTTCTGTAACATTAGGGGGCCGCCTTGGGTACTCAGCTTGGGGTCTTAACAAAGATTTAAAAAAACCCAAGTCATAAATGTTTTGAGTTTCACTTTCACGTCTCTATCTTCCATTACCGTCTTTAGTCATTCTGATTAAAACAAAGGCATTTACCTTCTCTCAAAGGCATCTGTTTCTGTGACGTTTTGGTCTCCACCTGTAATAAAAAGAGAGCCAAAGGGTGTTTGAATTACTAACTCAGTTATTAAAAGAAAATTTGATATCTTAGGAAGTGGGAGATTTTCAAATTTAAACTTAAATTAGGGGTTGAGTCACACTGCAACACCCCAGAATGCCATTCTGGCACTTTTTTTGGTGGGGTTCCGTTACTATCACGTATGAGTGATAGTTCTGGAAATCCATTCCAGCACTTCTTTTTTAAGGACTCACATGTAGAGTATGTGCAACCATTTGTAAAGTACACTTGCTAACATAAACAAGGCAGTTCATACACAGGCCAGATAATTAGGCATGAAATCACTTGATTTGCATTAACGCTTATTGGGGTGCACAATCTTATGGGTTTACTTTTGGAGGCCATTCTTAAACATGTGACCCCCAAAAGACCAGATTTTTAAAACTGCAAAAATGCGGATGCATAAATTATATATCTGCAATCATGGACACTGCATATGCAAATGACAAGCTGTCCATCTGATTATTTTAACACACAGCCTCTGTAAGTTCATGCAAAAACTGTGCACACTTTTGAATACACTATTTAATTTCTAGCACACAGTGGCACTTCTTTTACATGATGCAATCAGCCTGAAACTAAGCATTTCTTTGAGGTTAGCTGTGTCACTCAACAATTTAGTAAGTGATGTAGGTATAAGGACATCCAACTAGCAGAAAAATTCTAAAACATGCAAACAACTCACACCCTTTCTTCTGCTAAAATGCATAGAATACGTACATCAGCCGTGTTAGTACACCCAAAACTCCCACTGAAATTAATAACACTATTGAGTGTACAAGGAAAACAGAGCTGGACCTACTGTTCTAAAGATGTTAAAGATAAAGCTGTCAACTATGTGCTGTTCCCATCTTCTCCCACCTATACGTTAGTGTCTCCATAGATCTGAAGATATCTCACAATCTGTATTACCAAAAGTGTGACAGCCCACAATACTCTTTTTAACCTAGACATTTTATGAAAGTAATACACTTTACTGTACCTTTGGTATTTAAATCAGGCCCACTATCCACCTGGATTTGCCCTGCAATTGAAAACACCACAATGTCACTGTCATAACATACAATGTATCAGCTGCAAAAAAGAAAATATGAGCACATTTTTATACTACACAACTCACACCCTTTCATAATTTGTTTCTGTAATAAATCAAATGAATGGAGCCATAGCACTCAGCCATGACAGACCATGTTTGTTAACTTTTGTGATTATTTTTTGCCCTTTGCTGCCCCATCAGTACCCTACCATTGAAATCAAGTCACAAAGGCCTTGTCTACATTAGCATTTCTCCTATTATTGATCTAGCACAGGTATATCTCTACTGGTGACAGCAATGGTGGAAATGCTAGTGTAGACCAGTTGCCAGTGTTTTTACCATCATGTTGTCTAACTGTCAAGGTTAGATGGAACAGTGTAGGAAACACCTGTAGTCTGTCTACACTAGCAAGTCCACTGCGGTTACCACCAGAAGAACTGCAACAAGGGTGCTAGACTAATGATGGGAGAAATGCTGAAAAGTATTAACGTAGACACAGCTGAACTTAGCAGTAACAACATAGTTCAGAATCCTAAACAAAAGAACTATTACAGAGAGCGTGTGTGTATGAGACTCACAATAGTTTTTGCCTGAAAACCTGGAGTTAAAGCTGATAAAGTATCACTTCAGCCAAACTACACCCAACCCGTGAAAACATTATTGTTTCCCTTAAAAACTATCTTTCCTTAGCTTGGAAATTACAAGTCAAGTTTCCACTTAATTGCCAACCTCTCCCAAAAAACATACCTAAGTATGCAAATACATAGTTAAGGTCTCTGTGATCGGCGTATTGGGCCTATCTCAGTGTTGACAAGGAAAAGTTAACCTTCCTCTTTAGGAAGGGCCACCGCTACATGTGCTTAATGATGGGATATGCAGGGAAGTGCAAGCTGTGGGGCATTAATGAATTCCTCATTATCCCAGAAAAGGGAAAGAAAGAATCAGGCAGGGGGGCTTGAGACAAATAAGCTTCAAGGGAGAACAGCTGAGCCAAAGGAGTTGTCTCTTGGTGAACTATGCTGAAGTAAGCTATGTTGTGTGTTGAGTTTTATCTGACTGAGGTAAGATACCCTTTGTTTGCTGGGTCTCAGGCTAAAGAAAACTAAAGAGGACTTCTTGCTTGCTCTTAATTTAATTTCTGTTTAATCAGTTTCTAGTCATTTTTACTTTTGAGTTTCACATACTCAACTAGAAAAACTCTACAGTATTTGGATTGCAAACACTGCTTGGAACTGTTCATTTGTTTTTGGTTTTTTTAAAGTTTCTAATTTTTTTAATTAATGAAAATGTTCTGTTGGTCGTAAGTCTTGTAAAGCTGGGATTTTTCAAAGGAACATCAGGGAGTTAGAGGGGTACCCAACTTCCATTGGAATTCAGTAGGATCTGGGAACCTAAATTTCTATTGGCTCCTTTGAAAATCTCATATTAAAAGTTTCTTTTTTACAATATCTAAAATTTGGGCCAAATGAAGTGACAACATTCCTTTCAAAGCTTACTGCTATTCAAATCTGTGTATTCCTTATTGGTTAACTCTAAGTGAATCCTTGGGCACTAAAAACATATCAATGATTGCAACCACAAGGTAATGGTATATTTACTGAGGCCTAGATTGTTTTGTCCTATGGGAATTGCTGGTGCTACCAAATTGCTTGAAGTCCTAGTCACACCTAAGACCTGGTGGCATTCTCAAACGATCTCCTAAAGGGGACCAAGCCAGTAGATATTCTCAGAACATGCCTCCTATTTAGGGCCCTGCACAAAAGATAGCCAGGGACAAGCAGTGGTGGGGTGTTTCTAGGTCAGTCTATCCCATATCCCGGTGGTTAGGGCACTCATCTGGGATGTGGGAAGATCCTGTTTGCAAATCAAGCAGGGAATTTAAAGCAGGAACTCAGGCCTCCTATATCACCAGGCCACAGAAACAGAGTGACTCTACAGCCTAGTGCTTAGGGCATCACCTGGGAAGTGGGAGAGGGGAAAGGTCCTGCTCCAAAATATTTAAGGTGTAACAGCTCCAAAGGAAAGATTGGGAGAGGAACACCCACTACCCAGGTACTCACCTGGGATGTGACAACCTGGGTTCAAGTATCTGTGCCACATCAAACAGAGGATGGATTTGAACTTGGGTTTCCCACATCCCAGGTGAGTGCACTAACCATGGGTTTACTGAGTAGATTAACAAGCATGTACTTGTGGATGTATTTTGTGCAGGGCCTGAACCAGTCTGCATGCTCTGAGAACATCAACTGGATCAGTCCTCACTGGAAAGATGGGGGTGGGGGGAAATGGCTACTTTGAGAATCTCCCTGGGGCTTAAGAATAAGAAAGAAGAAAAACAGATGACTGGCTTGAAGGGAACAACCTGAGATGCTATAGTTAATGATTCCTAACATGTGGGTGGTGACTGTTCAAGGGTATGAGTTGAATGCCAGAGGTTGTCTATTGCATCACAAGCTAACTATATTCATCTGAAGCAGATTCACTTACAATGGGGCCCTCCTCTATGGGTATAAGTCAATGTGTCAGGAGCTGACTGAGGAGATGTCTGAGCCATTAGCAATTATCTTTGAAAAGTCATGGAAGACAGGAGACATTCCAGAAGACTGGAAAAGGGCAAATATAGTGCCCATCTATAAAAAGGGAAATAAGGGCAACCCGGGGAATTACACACCAGTCAGCTTAACTTCTGTACCCAGAGAATGGAGCAAATAATTAAGCAATCAATTTGCAAACACCTAGAAGATAATGTGAAAAATAACAGTCAGCATGGATTTGTCAAGAACAAATCGTGTCAAACCAACCTGATAGCTTTCTTTGACAGGGTAACAAGCCTTGTGGATAGGGGAGAAGTGGTAGACGTTGTATATCTTGACTTTAGTAAGACTTTTGATACTGTCTCTCATGACCTTCTCATAAACAAACTAGGGAAATACAACCTAGATGGAGCTACTATAAGGTGGGTGCATAATGGTTGGAAAATCGTTCCCAGAGAGTAATCAGTAGTTCACAGTCATGCTGGAAGGGCATAATGAGTGGGGTCCCGCAGGGATCGGTTCTGGGTCTGGTTCTGTTCAATATCTTCATCAATGATTTAGATAATGGCATAGAGAGTACACTTATAAAATTTGCGGACGATACCAAGCTGTGAGGGGTTGCAAGTGCTTTGGAGGATAGGATTAAAATTCAAAATGATCTGGACAAACTGGAGAAATGGTCTGAAGTAAATAGGATGAAATTCAATAAAAATAAATGCACAGTGCTCAACTTAGGAAGGAACAATCAGTTGCATACATACAAAATGGGAAATGACTGCCTAGGAAGGAGGACTGCAGAAAGGGATCTGGTGGTCATAGTGGATCACAAGCTAAATATGAGTCAACAGTGTAATGCTGTTGCAAAAAAAGCAAACATCATTCTGGGATGTATTAGCAGGAGTAGTGTAAGCAAGACACGAGAAGTAATTCTTCCCCCCTACTCCACGCTGATTAGGCCTCAACTGGAATATTGTGTCTAGTTCTGGGCGCCACATTTCAGGAAAGATGTTGACAAATTGGAGAAAGTCCAGAGAAGAGCAACAAAAATGATTAAAGATCTAGAAACATGACCTATGAGGGAAGATTGAAAAAATTGGGTTTGTTTAGTCTGGAGAAGAGAAGACTGAGAGAGGACACAATAACAGTTTTCAAGTACATAAAAGGTTGTTACAAGGAGGAGGGAGAAAAATTGTTCTTGTTAACCTCTGAGGCTAGGACAAGAAGCAATGGGCTTAAATTGCAGCAAGGGCCGTTTAGGTTGGACATTAGGAAAAAGTTCCTAACTAGAATAAATTGCCTAGGGAGGTTGTGGAATCTCCATCACTGGGGATTTTTAAGAGCAGGTTGGACAAACCCCTATCAGGGGTGGTCTAGATAATACTTAATCCTGCCTTGAGTGCAGGGGCCTGGACTAGATGACCTCTCGAGGTTCGTTCCAGTTCTATGATTCTATTACATCTCTGTAGCTTTATGGCAGGGTTTGGTTGCTAGAGCACACAGCCAGCTGTGTATCTGCAGTAAATGTACCTGCAATGGCAAGAAGCAGATTGCGTGGGTAGAGGGCAATGTATCCGACAGCATGGGTCCAAATTTCAAAGTGCTAGCTACACTCTCTTTAATCTCACTCTGAATCAGCTGCAGTGCCAATGCTGCCCTTTAGCCTGTGCTAGGGTATGCCACAGGGTGCACGGAGGACTAAGCAACCACACCCCACTCCACAGAAACTTTGTTTTAACAAGAGGGGTGCTCCTAAAATACATACAATATTAAATAAAAAACCATCATTATTGTGTACCCACTCAGTTAGTGGCAAACTAAGGGCTTGTATACATGGGAAAGTTATTCTGGAATAAGCTAAGGTGTGAATTAAAACCAATATAGTTATACTGGTATCATTCCCCAAGTGAACATTCTTAGGGTATATCTACCCTAGGGATCTTACAGCAGCACAGCTGTACCGCCACAGCCATGCCACTGTAAGGTCTCCGGTGTAGCCGCTCTTTGTTGGAAGGTGAGAGCTCTCCTGCAGGCATAATTAAACCACTCCCAACAAGCGGCGGCGTTAGCTATGTCGGCAGGAGAACCTCTCCTGCCAACACAGCACTGTCCACATCAGCACTTTTGCCGGTGAAACTTACGTTGGTCAGGGGGGTGTTTTTTCACACCCCTGACCAACAAAAGTTTTACCAACAAAAATGATCGTGTAGACAAATCCTTACTCTGGTATAAGAGTGGCTTTTTTCAGTTTAGTATATGTTGCTTGGGAAGGTGGTTAAGATAAACTGGAAAAGACACTCTTACACTGAAATAAGTTTGTCCGCATGGGGTTATACAGCTGTAACTACAATGGCATAACTGGTAAATATTTTGAAGTTTGAAGGGATTGTGTTTGGTTGGGGTGTTTTTTTTGTTGGTTTGTGGGGGTATTTTTTTGTTTTTTGCAAACAATCTTTT